TCTTCTTTGGCTTCTAACGAATCAAAGCACAGAAGGTACAAGTCTCCTCTTCTGTTGGCTCTCATCACCTCTATCAAAGTATCTGCCTTGTACATGATGCAATGTTTGACCTTGAAAAGTACATCCAGACCATTGTCACAGAGTTGGCTAACACTTATGAGGTTGTGTTTGAGTCCATCCATGTATGATACCTGGTTCATCTTTATCTCACCCTTCACTATCATCCCGTAGCCCTTTATCTTCCCCTTCTGGTTTCCACCAAGGGCCACAAAGCCTCCTTCTTGCTTTAAATACGAAGATAAAAGCTCTAATGTACCAGTCATGTGCCTCAAACATCATGAGTCAACAACCCAGGTAGGCACAAACTGTTTCTGTAATCATACAACGTTTAATTTAGGTACCCACTTCCAATTGGGTCATTTAGAATTAGATTGCTTAAGGTATGTCGTAACATCCTTTGATTTGGCTTTACTTTTCTTGGAAGAATTGCCAATTTGTCTCTTATTCACCCCAGAGCTTTGACTCTTAGGGTGAGAGACTAAACATGAAGAATGTTGAAGGTGAGTGGATAGAGTATGCATGATATCGAAACATTTACAAAAGGAGACATCACAAGAAACTTGCATAAATTTTTTATTAAATTTCTCAAAGAAGGGTACATATTTTTTTATTTTAGAGCCCTTCCTAGGTACGGGCTTCTCATTACAAGACTCCTTTCCTATTCTAGGCTCCTTTTTGAAATCTCTTTCAAAAATCTTCTGTATTTGTCCCTCCATTGGTTTACCTGCACTTACTGAAACATAAGCTTTGTTAGACAGAGGCCATTTTTCTTTTTGTTGCCAAGTATAAATAGGCTTCTGAGTTGTAGAGACAGAGCGTTGAKCATTACTTTGTTTTCAAATTTCTTTCTTTTTCTTTCTCAAGATCAATAGCAGTCTCTACAACTTGTGTAGRACTAACTTCAAGATCTGAGGCATCTTCATGCTTAGACGTAGCTTTTCCAGAGAGCTCTGTGTTACAAACCTTTTCAAAATGAGACTCATTTGCAGAAGGCTCTNATATTTGTTGTTCAAAGCCACATCATATGTTTATTTATCAAAGAAAATAAATATATGAATTAAATAAATTTATTTTAAATGAAATGCATTGTATCCATAAGTATAATTGATAGGACAGAGAATTTTGTGACATTCAATTTTATATGCAACACTTTGACTTTGTATGAGTCTCGAGTATTAATATTTCTCGCAAGATTCCTCCAAAATCTTATATATCCACACTGCACCAATATGATTCCAAGCAATCGATCATGGTGTATACGTAGTAGTCTCTGTTGTAGCTTCCTCCAATCATACTCACCCATTGTAAACATAATCCCCTACTAATATATATTTTCTTATCGTAATTGTTGTACCTACAAAAATGAAATTGTTTCAACTTTACCATTTACTTGTATGTCTTTCATTAATAATAACACCAATAGCTCCTCAGAAATACTCCAAGCCAGGCTGCTTAGATACTTGCGGGAAGGTGAAGATTCCATACCCTTTTGGAATTGGAGCAAATTGTTCAATCAACAACTGGTACGTCGTTGATTGCAACTCTTCGAAACCATACCTACCTGCACTCAACCACCTAGAAGTCCTGCTTGTAAACTTATATAATCATATAGTCACTGTTTATGCACCAATGATCTATGATTTCCAAAACCAAGTTCAGAATAGGAGCCAAGTCTCAAGCATCAATCTTGGTACGAGCCCCTTCCTTTTTTCCCAATTACAAAATAAATTTGTTCTCAAGGGGTGTGGCAATGCTTTGATGATAGACCATGGGATTGTGGTTGCTGGGTGTTCAACTTCTTGTACCAATGATAGTAGTGTTAGTGAAAGAAACAACTGTTTTGGCATCATGTGTTGCCAAACAGAGATTCCTCATTATCTTCAGTCTTATAGCTTGGAGAGGCAGGGTGGAGATGTGGCTCGTGGGTCTGCCTTCTTGGTGGATAAGAAGTCATATGACGAAGGAAGCTTTTTTGGCCAATCTATTGGTGTGGAAAACCCTTATGTTCCCATATCACTTCTATGGACCCTAACTGAGAGTGTGTTATCTTGTTGTGATAAGATAGGGAGCCCTTATAAATTCACCGTGGATATGCATAACGGTACATCAGTGCATTCTTCGGCATGCGCGGTCGGCAATAGATATGAAGGAAGCCCTTATTTACCATTTGGTTGCAAACGTACGTTATATTTATTTATTAATTAGCTTTGTTTTCTAGCACAAGGGTATGTGCGATTTTTTGACACCATACTAATTTCCCTTGTATCATGTGCTTTTAGTAAACAAGGTATGTGCAAGCTGCAAGGATGATGAATATTGTGAGCCTAACATAAACTATGATGGTGACGGCTTTAACTTCACTTGTATTGAGGTTGAGGGGTACAAATTCCAAAGCAAATCATCACAACTGGGTGTTATTTTAGGTAATCCCTATTCTCTCCGCTCATCAATATAAACAACCCCCCCCCCCCCCCCCCCCCCCCCCCA